GTACTTTTGTGCATCAAACGAAGTACACGAAGGATCTTTTGAGACGGTTCAAGATGGAGAATTGCAAGCCAATTTCAACACCAATTGGTTCTACAGCTGTGTTGAATCCTGATGAAGATGGTCAAGCTGTTGATAAAAAGGAATATAGAAGTATGATTAGATCTTTGTTGTACCTAACTGCTTCTAGGTCAGACATACAATTTGCTGTGTGTTTGTGTGCACGGTTTCAAGCTTCTCCTCGTGCTTCACATCGTCAAGCGGTCAAACGAATAATGAGGTATTTGAATCATACACTTGAGTTTGGAATTTGGTATTCTACTTCATCTTCTATATGCTTAAGTGGATATTCCGATGCTGATTTTGGTGGTTGTAGAATTGATAGGAAAAGTACTAGTGGAACATGTCATTTTCTTGGTACATCATTGATTGCATGGTCTTCTAGGAAACAATCTAGTGTTTGCTCAATCAACTGCTGAATCTGAATATGTTGCTGCTGCTAGTTGTTGTTCACAGATTCTTTGGCTTTTATCTACTTTGAAATATCATGGTCTAACTTTTGAGAAAGTACCTCTCTTTTGTGATAATAGTAGTGCTATCAATATTGCTAAAAATCCTGTTCAACACTCACGCACAAAGCACATTGATATTCGTTTTCACTTTTTGAGGGATCATGTTGAGAAGGGAGATGTTGAATTGCCGTTTTTGGACACAAAGTTGCAACTTGCTGATATTTTCACTAAACCTTTGGATTCTAATCGTTTTGCTTTTCTTCGTGGTGAATTAGGAACAATTCATCCTTTTGGCATGGTTTGAGGGGGAGTTTGTATCCCATGGTTTTATCAAGCAATAATATGACAATGAGAAAAATTGAGAAAAGAGAGCTTTGTTATACATATGGTATTTTCTTGTGCATGCTAGCAATACTATGAAGGTTGATTTGTCTCTAGCATAGCCTGTATGTATTCTAGTCCTTTCATGAGATTTAGATTTTGCTTTTAAGGGAGATGATGCATGACACTTAAATTCTCTACTTGAATTAAGCAAATATGCAATGTTGATGCTAGCATGTGGTTTGATTTCTAAATGCTTTATATATATGCTTTATTGAATTGTTATTTCTCAAATAGCTTTAATTGCTCATTGTGAAAAAGAGAATAAAAATATGAAAAAAAATGAATACCGAATCCTTGGAAACAGTCTTGACGACAAGGACGTATTCAATGTGAGCAAAATAATGGGTGCCGAATCCTTGGAAACAGTCTTGACGACAGGGACGTACCCGTAATAAAAGAGAACAATATGAGCAAAAAGGCTCAAGAAAAGAAAAAGTTGAAAAGATTCTCTTGGTTATTTTGTGCTAAAGGTTATTTGAGAAAGAGTGATAAATGCAATAGGTATATGTGTTTAGTGTTTATTCTTCAACCTATGTGTTTGCTAAGATGTTGCATTATAAATCGTATGAAATCATGAATTTTGATTGTTGATTCAAGCTTAATTGTAAAATCTTTGGTTCATGGTTATACTTTAATGCATGCTTGTTATATTATAGATGGGTTCATCTTCTTTTTATTGCAACACATGACATGATATGCTATATGTATGCTAAGCTCTTGAACATTAAAGAACATAATTCCTATGCTTGATGAAATCATTGTCAAAAGGGGGAGAAGAGATGAGTTTTTGAGAAGCAAGGTGTATTTTTAGAGCATGTTTTTTGGTTAAATTGGGAATTTCTTTCTTTTAAAAAGGGGGAGAAGTTTTCTTGGTTCAATTGGGAATTTCTTTCTTTTAAAGTTTACTTTTGGATTTTTGAGCACGATGTGTACGTTTGTATGAAGTGTGCTTTTTACCACTTTTGTTTTTATTTTTCCAAACACCAAAACATTTTTGATGGGTTTGCCAATGTGTTCATCAAGGGGGAGATTGTAAAATCAAATGTGTTTTTGATTATTATTCTGTGATGAACAATTGGGAATTGGAGATTATTGGTTTTGTTATTTGGAATTTATTCACGAAGTGAGTTTGGAGATGATTGGATTTACAGGTGAATCGCATGTTCATTATTTCATGTGACCGGTCAGACCGGGCAGTGTGTGCCGGTCAGACCGGCGATGATCGAGCGGTTGGACCGGCCAGCCCGCGGTCTGATCGGCTGACGTTGTATCGGTTTCGGGTTGTTCGTTTGGATATCCGTGATTGTTTCATTATTATGGCTTCTAGATGGATACTATACGTATGTAATACTATTGTTTGCTACTAATGAGACAAATTGGAGATAACTTGGTCTCGGAATATGGTTTCTTTGTTTATTTCATGTGTAGGTGACTCGATGCACTAGAGGGTTTCCTAAGGTTTTTAGGACTTCTAGTATGAGTTTGGTTCGTTACTTTAGGCTGCCTACCTCGGGTATAAATAGAGGGGGAGCGTGAGGCTTCCCGGTATTGCTTTAGAGAGCAATTGAGTTGAGTTTTGAGTTAGGGTTTTGAGTTTAGTCGAATTTTTTTGTAAGGAGTGCTGTTGGTGCATTTTGTAAACACAGAGAGAATCAATAAAGTCGTTATCCACTTTAAGAGTTCTTCGATTTGTGTTTACCGGGTTTTGGCGGTGTAACCGACGATATACCGGCGGCATACGGGCGATCAGACCGGCGGCGGCAACAGTAAGCGGCAGCTGATCTCGGCGGTCAGACCGGAGATCTAATCGCGGTCAGACCGATAGCAACCAGGCGGTCAGACCGGCAGAGCAACTTCGGTCAGACTGCGATCTGTCGAATTCGAGGGTAACTTTTATTTCCGCTAAAAGTTTTCGGTTTTTGGGTATATCAACCATTCACCCTTCTCTGGTTGGCTTAGTTTTTGTAATTCGATCCTACATAATCAAGAAAAAGGAAAAAGTTCAACAAGTAATATAATTTAGAAATAACTGAAATTCAAAATTAAAAATAAGAAATATTATAAGAATAGTACATATAAAACCCAATATGAGAATAATTAAAATTTGAAAAAGAAAAGAAAATAAATCTAAATTTAGAAAATAAAAATGATAGTTGACATACGAATACAATTTAGATTTAACTGAAATTTAAAATTAAAAATAAGAAATAATGAAAGAAGAGTCTATATAGAACTTGTCAATGTTCTATATATGGAATACTCTGTACTCTACTCTATAGTATGTCAATGATAGAGTGCTGGTTATACACTTGCCAATAATTTTCACAGGATTTGTTATTTCAACAAACCAAGTAATCGACAGCATAAACAGCATCCTAGTGATACAATGCCTATTCCAGTATTTGTTTTCAAGCAAGACGAAAGGATTAGGGATATTTCTTTTATGGTACAATTGTTAAAAAGCGTGGGCTCCACGTGCTCTTCATGTAGCTGGCATGCGAAAATCACTTACAGGTATACATGCGAAAATAGATTTATTTTTTAATGCGGGTGAGTAAAGATGTCCGTCTGTTAAAATTGATTTTTTTTATATGAGTCTTTTAAGTAGCCGTATATAAAAATACATATCGATTTTTCAGGCATGATCATTATTGTTCGCTTACAAATTATAAGGGGTACTCGTACAGAAAAATCGTGAATGGCATGCGGTCAGGAGGGGAAGCCGAGCATTACTGGTGCCTCTCTGGACGTCTCTGCCGTTCTTGTGTGGGCGCCCGGCAATGAGGCGTGCAGTAAATTAGCCAGGCGAGTGTGGCGAACTGACGATGGGTATGGCCCTGCAGCAAGAATGGCGGGACTGCACGAGCGCAGAGAGTCGGTTCGTGGAGATTATCACTTCGTTCGATAATTAGATGAATGAACATGGGATCAATAAACAGAAGGGCAATACCGTTAAGGGATAATTTCGTTACTACCCCAATATTGATTTTACCATTGTTTTATAAGGTTTTTGTTTTTAGCCCCACTTTTTCCAATTGAATGAGGTGTTTACCTATTTTTGACCGAAGGGACTGGAGCCAGATTGAGGTAAAGTAATAGGGAAAATAATTTTTCAAAATATTGATTTACTTTTGTGCCCATAGAGAATTTGGTACTACTGTGACCGTCTCCCTCCACTCCACAAACTTCCGATATTTTTGTCGGATTATCCGATAGGCCGTTTGCCAGATAATCCGAAATTATTAATATATGTAACCACTCTATCTATTGCATATAACATAAGTTGGTACATCCAATAGCCTAATTCATCAATTAACATAGATTTTTTAGTCTAAGGCTTTTATCGTCTCATGTCACACTCACGTAGCTATATTTTTATATTATGGACATCATGTAGCTATATCTATACTAGTATAAAAAGGGGAAATTATCTCCTTGCAATCCTACAAGCTAAATCAACATGTTGATCCTACCATCATCTGCATCCTCATCCGTATCGCTCTCATCCCTACCGTCCACTACGATTCACCCTCGCACAGCAACTCCATCCTATCTCCACCGTGATTTTCGCTCCCATCACCACGCGAAGACTTCTCCCGTGCTACTCGCTATTACCGCTCTCGAACCCCTTCCTGCCACACCCCCGCGCCGCCGAATTTCCCTGACCTGCCACCATCGCCGTGTCCTCCTCCTCCCCACCCACTGCCGCTGCATCGCCTCCTCCTCATCGCCTACGCGTCGTCCTCCTTCGCACTCACCTCTGCTGCATCGCCTCCTCCACACGGCCTCCGCGTTGTCCTCCTCCTCACCCACCGCCGCCGCGTCCTCCTCCTCCCCATCACCCGCCATTGCCTCGCTGATCTCCTCTCTCAGCGCCACCATCAATCCCGCGGCGGTCACCGTCCCCGAGTCCCCTTTGCCGGCTCAACCGTCGTCGTCAGATCCACCGACGGGGTGAACTCGGCAACGGTGGTCCAGTGCTCGATCCCTAACGCATGTCGCGCCGTCTTGTCCACCGCCGCTGCGTCCTCCTCCTCCCCAACACCCCCGTGTTGCTGTGCCTCCCTGACCTGCCACCGCTACCGCCGCCGCGTCCGCCTCCCCATCACCCACAGCGTCGTCCTTCGCCTCGCCGATAACCTCTCTCCGCGCTGCCATCAATCCCGTGATGGCCACCGTCGCTGCCGTGCAGCCGTCGTCGTCAGATCCTCCTCCACCGCCCCAACGCCGGTTGTGTCGTCCTGCCCGCAACACCTGCGCACCCTCCGCCGCTTGATATTCCTGCGAGTTTTATTAAGAAAAATACTTTTTTTCCTGCTGTTGTTACACTTGCTGTGTGGAGAGAAAACTTTGTCAGAAGCTAAATATTGTTGTTAATGTTCTTGGTCAATCTTTTTTCAGGCATTACAGTTTGCAACTGAGCTATGGCAGAAATTGTGATGGCTCCATGTTATTTGCACCAACTGATTAACTGAACTATGCTATACACATGGGAGACTTTGGTTAAAGGATTAGAAATCAGAGTAATTGGAAAAAGATACATGTCCAATGCTAATGCAAAGGCTTGTAGAAAGATTATGTAGAGTGTTTACCCGAAATAATCTCTAGACACTACAACACGATCATGTACTCTGAGAGCCTTCTAGCTACTTCAGACTGTGACAGTGCTTACCTCTAAGGTATTGTTTCCCTTGCACTCTGAATTAACATGACAAATTCTATAATAAATTATATGCAGATATCAATTTGATTTACCTCCGTACATGCTGCAATAGAAAAGTGCAGGAGCTGAAATATTTCTTCGCCAGGTCAAGCAGAATAGGAACCTAAACGGTCAGGTATAACCCTAAGGTTCTTTATTATGTTTCACCCGTGAGTGGTCATGTGGTGGTTTGTGTGCATCTAACTACTGCATCGACTAACAGTTCAACATGCCCTATTGATCCGGTGCTAATCCCCAAGAGCTACTTGATTAAGCTCACTACACAAAACACCGTGGATATGACTTCATTTGGTGAATATTAATGTATATACATTATGTTTCGTGATATGTACATATAGACATATCAAGTAATGGTTTTGTTGTTTATTTGTAGTTTTGTTCCATACTCCACAAAAGTAGAAAATCAATGATTAAGCTCAATTATGATTTATTCCTAGCAGCTTGGTTTATGTGACTTGGGACTGCTAAACAGTACACAGCATATTTTGTTTATAGTGCTCTAGATAATATGGAGGCTCTAGACAATGGTGTCTTGGAGCTCCTTTTGGTTAAACAACATATCCACACAAACAAGGTACATTATGCTTGCTCTCAGGAAAAAAAAAAGGGTTCATTTTATTCAGTGATTATGCTTTTCCTCTAGAAATCATTAGCTGTAGTGTTAGATTCACAATTTCATTCATTTGCAAGATATTCAATGGAATTTCTATGTGAGTAAATTGTTGTGCATATGAAGGTGCATTTGACAAAGGTCAAGGGGAATTGGCGAACTAATCAGTACGACAACTGTTGGTCAACTAATTATACTGTCTTGTGTTTAGTTTTAACAATTCCATTGTTTCAGGCTACCCAAACTTCAGACAGAGGCAGAGGAGCAGGACCACATGAACTCCTTAATATAGATGATCAACATGTCTCCATATCTATCCAGGATGTTGGTCAGAGGAGATTTTGTTCTTTTATTTACCATTGATTGGCCTCTAGTTGATGTATCTAATTTCATATACTCCGTAAGCACAACATGAAGGTAATATCCATACGTGCAAGATTATTTCTTACTTTTAGTTTTTACTATTTTATAAGATAACAGATTTTCTAAGGTGCTTGGGAGGCATTATATCCGTTGATGGCTTCTAATCTGACAATCTGTAACAAAAGGTAGATATAGGAAGGTATTACAAATGTGGGCCAAGGTATTAAGTAAAAATTGGGTGGAGGGTTATATAGGTAATTTTGTACCTGATATCACATTAGAAGGCAACGGTTGTTTCCAACTAACTGCTGAGATAAACTCGGTAACTACACTTGAAATTAGGTAACGGGGAAGAACTAGCAATACTACAAATTAGCGACATCAAACTTTTTGCAATCCTGCATGCAACTTTGTAAATAAAAACATAGCCATATAACTAAGCTTGATCCTATTCAAGTAAGGTCGTATACTGTCAAAAATAAAACTAAGCTTGATCAAACAAGAACCAAGTAATAATGCAATTTAGTTATTGGAAATTGTATGAGTGCCGTCATAAATGAAATATACATATCAAGGAGCCGATTACCATCTACGCCATGGAGAAATCAAATTGCAAGAAATCAAATTGCAAGGAGTGAAGGTTATCGAATGATAATGATTACCATATAAAATAATTAATTTTCTGTGTTTACGTTAATCTCTATTCCAAAGTTACCCTTTCAGAAATTAATGGTAGATTTTAAGTAGGGAGGAAGGTACCTCCCATACCTCTCAAGCACCGTAAAAGCCCCCGTAAGATAATTGTTCACTGGTCAAGCAAGGGCAAAGACCTACATTTGAGCAGTACCTATTAGTCACTGGTGGAGAAACCATCTTTGCTCGGTCGGCCAAAACCCACAATAGTCCCGGTTGTAATAAAAATCGGGATTAAAGATTATCTTTAGTCCCAGTTTAAAAGTTTAGAGCTGCTTTTTGATCTTTAGTTACCAACCGGCACTAAAGATCTATTTCTAGTCCCGGTTGGTAACACCAACCGGGGAAAAAGATGCCTACTATCTTTAGTCCCGGTTGGTGTTACCAACCGGGACTAAAGATCTATTTTTAGTCCCGGTTGGTAATACCAACCGGAACAAAAGATCGTGGCGAAGAGTACGAGGCATCTGCCATCTGCGAGATCGAGGAGGAGGAGGAGACGGGCAGCCTTATCTCTTCACCTCTTCCTCCACTGACCTTATCTCTTCATCCCATCTCTTCCTCTTCCTCCTCCTCTCCTCTAACTCCTCTCCTTCCCTCCCCCATCATCCCTTCCTCTTCCTCTTCTCTAACTTCTCTCCTCTAACTCCTCTCCTTCCCTCCCCATCATCCCACTGATAGATCGGGCGGCCGGCGGCCTCGCCGCGGCGCGCCGGCGGGCGGAGGCCCGGGCGGCCTCGCGGCGGCGCGGCAGGGCAGAGGCCCGGGCGGCCGGCGGGCGGCGCGCCAGCGGCTGTGGCAGCCTGTGTTTTTTTTCTTTTTTTTAAGAATTTGTGATTCGGATCTATGTATTTGATTTGTGTGTGATGTCTGTGAATATGTGATGTATTTGTGATGAATTTTGTAGAAGTTGTGATGTAATTTTGTTTTAAGATTTTGTGATCTATTTGAATATGGCCGATTTGGGGATTTGAGGATTTGGGGATAATTTATTTGGGATTTTGGGATGGGGATGGAGTGAAATCAATATATTAAAAACACAATGAAGAAAAGAAAATAATAATAGAGCAACCGGATCTAGCTAGGCTACCTCTATCTTTAGTCCCGGTTGGTGTTACCAACCGGGACTAAAAAGGCCATCTTTAGTCCCGGTTGGTAACACCAATCGGGATTAAAGATGGATTTTTACTCCCGGTTTTTTCACCTGGGACTAAAAATCACTATCTTTAGTCCCGGATTGGTAGTCCCGATTTGAAAACCGGGACTACAGGGGGTTACGAATCGGGAGTAAAGCCTCTTTCTCCACCAGTGAGATGAACTCAACTTGGCATAGAACAATTCTAACTCTGACTATGAAAATTGATCCCTTTCTCTGGTCCAGGAATTTGAGTGTTTATCTTTTCATTACCAAGGCTTAGATTGCCTCACAATGAACCTGTCCAAGGACCAATCTCTTAAAATTTGGTTTGAGTGGATCCAAAGACAGATATATTAAAAGAAATGATGCATCTTTCTTTAGAGACATTTTATTGAAGCACAAGGTGGGTTGTGTTCCCGACCTCTGCGCTAGGAGCGTGCAACCAAATTGCATTCCATGAATCTAATTAATTTTGCCTTTATATTGGCTTGTTATTTTCAACCTTGATTGGCATGGTCCAGCATAGTAGTAGTTCTTTAAATTTCACAAATACAAAAAGGTAACTACTGTTTTTCTTGATATTGTTGTCTGATTGCTCTTATGTTGTCCCCCTTGACTTTTTCTTCCATCCCTGAGCAAGCAAATCAATGATGTGTTGAAGAATATTATCATTGTGCTGCAGGTTCGTGGTACCTAAGTGGTCCTTATGTGTACATGGATCAATTTGCTGATGATAAAAAGATTTTAGGCTGCTATTAAAAAAAGTGTAACAGGTACCCAAATCTCACACCTTATTATGACATAGCTAGCAGAAAATAGCTTGAACTGATATTCCAGTATCACACAAGTATAAAACCTCATCTAATATAAAGATCTACGGTTGCCACCTTTTCTTTTATCACGGATTGGCCCATTGGATTGGTTCTGAGTCATTCGCTACCTGTAACCTGTTGACCTCAATAAAAGTTTTAGCAGCTGAACTATATATCATAACTGATTTTAATCTGAATGTTTTCTAAATGCATCCTTGCTTGATGGATCTCTTTAGCATAATCTGGTGATCGATACGATGCATGCACTTCATAAGTACAGTGCAAGTTGTGTTAGTTTTTCAATGTTGCTAGCTAGCTTGAGGGAATGGTTTGTTTCAAAACAAACGAGTTAGTTGTATCTTCAGTTCTTCTCATTCTTCATATTCTGCACAATTGTTCGTTAAAATCTCTCTATGTTCAATCAGATATTGGCTTATCGATTCACTGTCAGTAAGCTTGGGATTACATTGTCTAAGTATCATTAAGTGTAAGTTTTTTTTTTTTAAAAAAGAAAGCTATTCTAAGAGCAGGTTGCAATATATGCTACTTGGAGTTACAAGTTAGCTGTTCATTTTCTAGAAATATTGCAGGGTTTTTGTATTTTCTAACAAAGCTGATTGACCATGTTGTGCTGTTTTGTCAGGTTCAAATGATCATAATATATATCTGCAACTCTAATTTATTTAAAACTTCTAGGAGAAGTTGAGGATCACACATTCACATAAAAGTGGCCATTTCTTATACAATTGTAAGCACAATGTTTTTATGACCAATAGCATCGGATGATCAAAGTGCCTTTTATCTCCATTTTCCACATTCTCTTGAACCTTGAGGTTTTTTTTTTCTGTCTAATCCTTAATTCATACAACGTAGGACCTTGTATTATTTTATCTTATGCTTTTGTATTTCAATGAAACATGGCTTGAATATATGTTTATTTATTCTTTATTTGATGTGAAATGAATCGTACACTTTAAATTTAATAAACTTATTATTGTTGTCATATCGGTGATATGCTGATCTCAAGTTAATTTATATTTGCATGATGTGCCTTGCACGTGCACGATTACTAGTTTTTATATTATGGACATCATGTATTCATGATGTTTAGCACTTAATCATATAATTATTACGATGGGTCATTTATTGATTATTGTATTAATGTTCCTTGGATTGCTAACTCGATGTTGTATTGATTGCATACACACGTAACATCCGATAAATTTAATCTGTTTCCAGACCGATTCCGCACCGACTTTGCACCATTTCCGACATCCGAAACAATCCGCTCCACATCCGTACACTATCCGCACCCGCTCCGAATCTGCTTAAAAAATATGGTTTAGGATATGGTATAACTACTATCCGTTCGAATCCGCTCCATTTTCACCCCTACGTCCAACCATCGTGGTGTGGATGGCTTCGGCGTGGCCTTTCCTGCTTGGCGGCACAACGTCGGTGAGGCGTCATGCTGTTGTCTCTCACGGCCTCGCGGCATCGCTGCCAACGCCCAACTGTCTTGCTGAAGAGGTGAGGAGTTGCTGGTTGCTTGCTAGCTGAAGAAAAGATGTGGAGCTGGTGCTTGCTTTATTGCTTATGCCACTTCTTGCTGCGCTAGAATCTGTCAGATTTTCTTTGATGATTTGAATCTGCCAAAGTTCGGAATGTACAGTAGCAAGCAAGGGTATGGATGTCTTTTTGCTAAAAATTTAACACAGCTAACATCTCCTTCTAAAGTAGAGATAAAACTTGGCTTCGCTTCAAGAAACCAGGGGCATAAACAAAAACCCTAAAAAGCAGAGGCAAAATTAATATTGAACATCAAAATAGGGACAAGAATAAATTGGCCCTATAGTGTCAATTGTCTTGCCATTTTTGTCGATTTCAGTCAAAGAAAACTAGAAAGGGAGTTGGAGCGATGGAAATGCTATGTAGGGAAAAGGCAGGAATTTATGTTCTACTAAAGTGAACAATGAACTTTCGATGCTACAAAACAAAAAAAAGATAACTTTGCTATAGATCCAATTTTGCTTTTAACATTGTGGCAATGATGAAAATGGAGTGGCTTCAAGTAACAAGGATTATGCAATGCACACAAAAACAATTTTAATCCAATAAAACCATTTTGGAGATTTTTGCAGCATGTTTCTAATACACACATCCCCGTGCATTTAATTTAGGGCTCAGGTGGGTTATTTAACTACTTGCTACTTAGGACGCGCGGAGACGGTGACAACTTTGTTGGGGTCGACCTCCTCGTTGCCGATGAGGGGCTCAATGGAGCTATCAGCATCAAAGTTCCCATCGATAATAACCACAGCGAGTCTGCGCCTCGACAACAATCATGTGCGCTTTCTCGACGGTGCGGTCTTTGATGGGCTTTGCTGGTGGTAGCATGACTTGGGCCATCTCCACCCCCTCACCGCCGCACCCCCTACCCCGCCCCCACCCGCGCCTTCACCTTCTACCACGCTGCTGCAACCCATTGCCATTGCTACGTGCGTCATCATACTTGTGAACGGTGTCTGCGAGCTCAAATAGTTTCTCCTCCATCGCTAGTATCTCGTCATGTCAAAGAGAGTTAACGGGGTGAAGAGGGGCACAATGGACATTCATGAGGCTCTAGTAGAAAAAAAAGGAATTATGAAGAATAACATGGCATCTAAAGAAGCGAGTTAAATTTTCCGAAAAGGCTTCGTCTCGGTAGTTCGGAGGAAAACAATATACCGGATGCACGCTGGCAACTCACTTCTTATCCACTCCTTTGCTTCCCTTCCCCCCACCGTGATAGAGCCATTCTTATCAACTCCTCTCGCTTTTCTTTCTCTCTCTCTCTCTCTATCCGTCCCTCTCTTCCCCTACCCTGATAGAGCCATGGAGGTGGCTGATGCACGAGAAACTCATAGCACTAGTAAGAGAGCAAGGCTGCGGCGGTGCATAGCTGCAACAGCGTGGATAATGGCCAAGATCTCACGGCAGTGATGATGAAGACATGGACGAGTTGTCCACAATGACGGCGGCGACACGAATATCTCCACAGCGGCGGCGACATGGACACGCTGAACTCTCCGCGGAGGCAGCAGTGACACAGATATGGTTAAGTTCTACGCATTGATGGCGATGTGTGTAGAGTGGATGCTAGAGCGGGTGGGGGTCGTACGACATCACTGTCCACAGCGCCATCCCCGGCAGCTGCACGCCATCGCTAACGATGTCCCCTCCACAGCTAGGGCAGCATCCGGTGCTGACGCGGTGGCCAACCATATGAGAGAAAGAAGAGGTATGTCTAGAATGTTTTTTTTTTAATTTTTGATGTTTCGGTCTATGCATATGGATGTTTCATTGGTTAGATCAAACTATTGCAGTGGATTTTTAATGGTGTCACGCCCAGAAAATACCTTTCCCGACCGCTAGTGTATTAATCCCCGTCCCAGGAAAAGCCAGGGTACACCACAACAACTTGATACAAAAGACACATCTTTATTAATTATCACGATAATATTTACATTATTACAAAGGCACATTAAGCCTGACAACAAAAGAAAAACAACAGCGGACTAGCGGGCCTACGGCTCCATCTTCACAGGTGCTCAACTGGGGTATAAGCCAAGACTCTACCTAAGACTTCTTCTTCAAGAAGCTTCTGACTGGAGAGGGAAAGATTGAGCAAGAAAATGAGTACAACCACCGTACTCAAGTGAGCTATGCCGGGAAATGAATTATAATGCAAAGGGAACAAAGAGTTGGCATAATAGGGTTCATTTTTGCGTAAAGCCAAAGTTGCAATATTTTAATGTTTTAAAGCATAGTTTAAACTCGTTCCTATATCTAAACAATATTATCATGGTTACGAACCCACGCATACCGGCCTTAAACCCAGGTTAACCGCCTGTCCAAAGTGCCATGATTTCCATCCATCACTTAGAAGAAAAACACTAACTTTGGTACATTGCTAGGCTTGCCCATAACCGAGGGCGTGGCTATTCGAATAGTTTTACTCTGATCAGAGGTGTACATCTTTACCCACAAGACACAATACTTGATTTCATGTCAACCATGTATCGCGATACCTCAAAGGAACCCGAAAAGTCAAGATCATGTCAAGACTATCCTCCTAGCTCAACCCAAAACAGAAGGACCCGCTAAGGTTTCGCCACCCGCTGGTCCCCGACAAGGTAAAGGTTGCTGGATCCCCCGGGACGAGATAAGCCCCCTCTTGCGCCAGGTCAAAGTCAGCCTTCCCTGGCCCCAAACCTATCATACCGATGGCCTTTGTTTTGAGATGATCTGGACTTCTAGTCAGGCTTTACCCATTAGACTTGTGGTTGCACTGTTATGCTTCGCAACAGAGGTCCGAAGACCGGTCCTTACAGTGGCCGAGGTGCTTCTAACAAAACCATGCACCTCACGCCCCACCAAAAATAGGTTTAGAGAGTTTTGAATGAGATTCCATCATGTCCAGGCTCAACCAGCCACCTAATCATCATTCTCACATATTTTAGTTGTTACCCACAGGTTAATGTATAAAAAGAGATTCTATGTTTGATCTAAGCGTATATAAGCCCAACCTAAAGCAACTAATAAGTCCATCATATAGGGAGCCATACTAGTCATTTTATCATTTTACTAAGGTTGTCAAGAGCATGGGTAGCAATTCAATAACATGGCTATATAACAAGGATCATATGAATATTAACTATTAAATAAATAATAGTGAGCGTCATATAATTTATAAAAGCGATTCATATAGAAGTGAAACAACGTAGTTTTTGCAATAATGGGATTCACTATGTTCAAGGAATATGGCATGACTTGCCTTGCTCAAAGAGAAGGTCTTTAGATGACTTGATCTGCACTTCAGAAACTTCCGAAATGACGACAGCTACACGATCAACAAAACAGGGCTACAAATCTAAGAAAGAAACGATAACAACATATAAAAATAACAAACACGGGTTCTTCAAGCTATAACAAAAATTAAACAATTTCGACGGGTCAATTAGGAGCTCGTATGGCCGAGAAACGACCATCCGAATTTTAAGTGCAATTAAAGTGGATATTTTCGAGTTGTTTAATTATTATTATTATTATACTATTAAATTATGTGCAATGAAATATCGCTCGAAGAAAGAAAGGATCGAGCGATTGGCAGCCGGGACTACCACGTGAGCTGCACACGTGGGCAATCCACGCGGCGACCACACGGGGAGGACGAGGATAGGGTAGCGACGGAAGAGGTTCTCACCATGGACACAACGCGGCAAGGGAACAACGGTGGCGACCGGCGAAAACCTTGGCGCGGCGACGAAGGGCGACAGAGAGGAACGGGTCAACGACGAGGGGACGGCTCCAGCAATCCTCGAGCTTGGTGAAAAGGCGGACAACGACGGGCTTGGCGCTGCGGACTTGACACCGACGACAGGCGGCACTTCGTCTTGACGGGAACGACGACAGGAGGGAGGCAATAGCAACGGGGCGGCGCTACGGGAGTCTTTGGGCAGCGAGGAGGCACGACCGATGATGAAGACAACGAGATGACGCCAACAGCATTGACAGCGCAGTGAGGCAATCCTCCAGCGAGGAGGGAGGGCTGCCGGAGGACGAGGATGAAGGCGACGTCACCACTGCTCACCAGCGAGGACGAGCTTCCGGCGGTCTCCAGGAGAAACGGAGGCGAGGCTGGGGAAGAGGAGGTTGCTGCGAAGCGGATGGTGGCGATGCTGGGCTCCGAGGAGGTCCCAACTGTCGGCGAGGGGCGGCCGGAGTTGCACAGCAGCGACGACACGAGAAGAAGGCAACGCGGCAGCTAGGGAGAGAGGAGGGGGAGGGCTGCAGTGTGGGGAGAGAGGGGGGGGTCGGTACTCCTTTTTATAGGCCGGGGTGGAGGAGGCGGATGGCCGGGGAGAGGAGGAGAACGGCCGGAGAGTTCGCCGGGCTGCCATCAATGGCGGCAGTTCATTGGAGACTAAATTTGATGATTAAAGGACGAATTAAGAGGGCAAAACGTGGGGGAATTGATGAGGAGGAGGATAGGAACCTATTTTTGCATTCAATTTGTGGAGGAAACGAGTGGGGAGGGAGATCGGCATTCCTTGAATATTTTTGCATTCTATTGCCTTGAATATTTCACTAAAATCAGCAATCTTGTCCTCGGAGAATCACCCGGTTTCACCTTGAATCATAAATGACAGAGCATAGTCCCAAAGGCGTCCTGGTATAAACATATAAATCAGTCGACAAATCAAAATGTTTGTGGCTCTTCAATAATTTGAGAAACAAACTATGCATGAGGGCAACTAACTTTAAAACCAATTTGAGAATGCCATGACATTTCCTTATAAAATCATTTGCAGTATGAGATATATTTTGCCATGGATTATGTTCAAAGCAATGTCACCCTCACAACTTAATTATTGTCTTTTGGAAAGAGGAAAATAAGATATATAAACGATCCATTCTGCAATTCTGAAATGATGGTAGCACTCCATTAATTGAACATTAAGTAATCAATCAATTGATGCATAGAAAAAGTTAAGCTTTAATTCATTGTATGAACAGAGCATGTAAGTTATAACAAAAAAATATGCACATCAAGACTTGCTCCTAAGGTCATTCGTGCAAAGTTATGGTAATTATAAGGCATAACATGGGCCACTCTGATCTACACATCAAACAATGCTAGCCGCCTAGCCTAACCGGCCAATCCCTCCTAAGGAATTGTTGGAATTTTTTTGATGGATTTGCTCTTAATCCATGAATTTAGTATTAAGAAATAAATGCAAAGATTCTGAGCTGAGAAGTTGACTTGAGGGACATCAGTTTTAAGTTTTGTATCTAGTTAAATCCATCAGACCATAAGTTACATCAACCAAACATAAATTTCTAAATAATATCAATTGAAAGCCATTGGCTTTAGTCTTATCTGCCTCAGAAGGCCATGGATCTTTTTTGCAGATAGTATCTGTTGACTGTTGTACATACTACCGGAATGCAGAATAGCAGAATAGCAGATAGCAGATACATGTCATTATCCATTTTTTTTTCTAATTAGGCTATTGGGTAGCTTCAATAACAGAAAATTAGCAAAGAATGTACTTTGGATTTTCAAGTAGCAACCTTCATTACTGCATATATATACGAAGAGGCAAAATTCTTGATTTTTTGCAATTGGTATATCCCTATCACCAACCTTGCCTAGTATATCTATTCAAGCAATTTATCAAACACCTAACATGCACAACCTATGGTGATAAATATTGGACAGCTAAACATACGGTTGCATATTGGCTTTGGCCATCTTGACGCGCCATCAGTGAAAGAATGAAGAATTCCAAGGAGTGCGATGAAGGAATCTTGCTTGTAGATGAAGCATACCTGAGATTTTAGCATGTTGAGCTCCATTGCGCTCCAATGACTGGGAAGGGAAAGCCGCTTCCGTCAGCGTGGAGGTGGCACCTTTCGAGCTCCATGGCTATTGCCGCTACCATCGCGCCTTGTCGGGGGTAAGGTCGAAGCAGCCGCTCCACTTCATGGCAGTGGCTAGGGCGGCCTCCTGCGGTGGCGGGATTTGGTGGCTAGATCATGAGCCTCCAAGCTAGGGATGTTCAGATCCGGTGGGAGGATAGCCATCCACAAGCAAGAGGAGAGGTGGGAGAGGTCGGATCCTCTGCATTGGCTCTTGCTACAGCAGATGAGTCCTTCTCTGCATTAGCCCAAATCTGGACCACTCATCGGTAAAAGAACGGTGAGCTTTTATTTGACTAAAAATATAAGTATAACTGTTTCTTCCTCCAAACTCCTCAGTAGCTCACCTTGCTGTGAGAACGGCGCTGTACTCACCATGATTTTCCTAAGATGATGTCCCTCATCTTCATATGACGATTTCCTCTTAAAGCAGTTGCTCCTTCCATCCCAAACTATAAAGAGCTTATGTTTTTTACACTGTCTTCGATATTACCATTAATTTTTTTATAATATATTATCAATGACTATAAAATTAACAATATATGAAACCATTTTAAAATATGAATATAATGATATCACATATATAACACTGAACATACATATTACTAGTATTAGCCTGAACATTAATCAAAAGTTACTATTATTGACTTTTTTGTAAAATTATGGATGCTTTATATTCTGTAACGGAGGAAGTGTATCCTTTTTTCAAGTGTAGCAAGGAGGAAGGTGAGAGCAAACAACAATATTTACGTGCTAAATATATTATCTGGAATCCATTTTGTATCTTATTAAATTTGTATTTTTTAGCTCACTCACTGTATAAACTCAGGAGCTTTTGCTGATTTTATACGAAGAGACACCAAACGAGCATATCTGTTGGATTTTGGATGAACGGTAGATCTGGGCTAATGCAGAGAACTTCTCTGCATTACAAGAGCCAATGCAGACGATCTGAGTCCACAGTGCAGAGGGCGGTTGCGTAGGTGGTGGGGACGGATGAGACTCCCCTAACTTTGTGCAGTTTACAGTTGTGCCACTGATATGTGGGTCATACCAAACTAGGGTCCACATATCAGTGGCACAACTGCAGACTGCACAAAGTCAGGGAATCTGTTTCCGGTGGGGACTGGGGAGGAGGGAGGCAGCGTCGGACCGAAAGAGCTAATTCGCGGATAGTCGCGCGCGCCCCCCTGCGCACGACTGGACACGTGTCGTGCGCGGAGAGGGGGGTGGCGGACGCCGCGCGTTTCTTTTTTTTTGGTTTGTTTTTTCGCTCCGTTTCTCTTTTCCTTTTTTCGTTCTGTTTCTCTTTTTTATTTGTTTTTCTTTTTCTTTTTTTTACATTACAAAGTTTACATGTGTATACAAACTGTATACACATATATAAACTCTGTGTATGTGTTTATAAAGTTTACATACATATATACAAACTTTGTAAACACGCATACAAATTTTATATACACGTATGCAAACTTTATATACACGTATACAAACTTTATATACGTATATTTTTTTATGCATATGTATACAAACTTTGTATATATACAATACAAAGTTGATATTTTCTCTGGTTTTCTTTCCTTGTTTTTTAATACGTTACAAAGTTTCTATACATGTTTTTATAGGTACGTATACATTTGTATACATACGTATATACACTTTGTATATGTTGTATACAAAGTTTGTATACGTCATATACAAATATAAACTTTGTATACGATGTATGTAAAGTTTGTATATGTGTATATATTTTTTATACATCAAAAATGATTTGGTATGTATATATTCAAAAGTATATATATGTATGTATAAATATATAAACATAGTACAGTAGTAAAGGTGTATATAGGGGAAGGCTATAACTGACCGCGCGGCCGCAGGCGCGCGCGATCAGTCGCCGATTAGCAGTCCCCGCGGCGGACGGGCAGTCCAGCGAGAGATAATTGGCGATCGGCGAAGGGAACAGATGGGGAACGCAGTTTTCGTTTTGTTTTGTTTTTTTTGAGCCAGGGAAGTGGAAGGACCTACGCGCAAAAGAAGTTTGCTGAAGGATCGAGAAGAGATTTCGCCAATCAGGGAATCCGATGGCTCGTAACTTCTGAAGCTAAAATCGTACGGTGCATCTTTTCTTGATGACGTGGCACAGTAGTTTTGCATTTTGGGTTTCACCTTTCACTTATTTAAATTTGGCTTATATGGATAAGCATAAGCCAAACAATAAGACTGTAAGAGTACTTGATTAAACAAATAGTACTCCCTCCGTTCTATAATATAAGGGATTTTGGATGGATGTGACATATTCTAATACAACGAATCTAGATAAACCGTCTGTCTAGATTCGTTATACTAGAATGTGTCATATCAACCCAAAATCCCTTATATTATGAGACGGAGGGAGTATATGTAACAATATCCGTCTAAGACTGCATGACACCATCTCCTATTGTTTCCCCTGGCGCTTCATTGAATATGTACGGGCTCTTGTACTCCATCGAAGCTAGTACACGTGTATTTGGGAATAAAAATTTAGGAGAGTGATATTTGGCCATGTGTATTTTAGGAGGATAGCAAATAGTAAATTTTCCTCTGTGAATTGGGATAGAGGCAAGGCTGCACTATGACACCGATTTGGCAGTGATCTTGTTAGCATAATGGCACCAACTCTCGGACCTTCATAGCAAGGTCAATAAGAGAGCATGTTGTTAGTTCAGAAAATATCTGTCATCTATAAGAAATAATAAATAGCGTATCTAATGTCAAAAGTATGAATAAATAATATAACACAAATAGTACTATGAACACAAATAGTACCATCTCTTCTACTCATCTCTTCTCTTCAGAACGACGATGACTGCACACGGATGCGTTGGACGATGGCAGCGCTCGCGGCGGCTAGGGTGGATGAGGACGGAGCTGCAGCGGAACAGGGTTATGGCGATGGCGGCGCCTGATGGATGAGGGCAACGGCGGCGGACGCGACGTGGCGAGCATAGTGGACAAGCTGTAGCGACGAACACGATGGCGGCAGCGGCAGCCTTGGATGAGGACCGTAGCCGAGGTGGACGAGGACCACGGCGGTGGCAGCAGAGGGCATCGATGATAGCCGCGACTAAATGATAAATGAGGATGACGGCGGTGGACGGATGCGAAGAGTGCAGTGGATGAGCGTGGAGGCTAGCAACTAATTAGTCACCCGCTTCTCGTCTCTCTCGTCCCCTCTCTTAGATTGCTCATCAAAAAATTGCCAAGTGGATCTTATATCGCCTACTACTATACTTCTTGTTAGGTGCACAGGCTCTGGTTTACAATGAGATTATTTTCTTCCATATCATGATTGACTGCACTGATTCATTGTGATTTCTGATTGTTACAAAAACATGTTTAATTGGCAGCTCGGTTTTTCATGATCTAAATAGTTTCCGTTAAGAATTAATTAGTTTTCTTAAATCAGAACTAATTCGATCCTGTTTTGGTGCGTACATATCGTCAAGCTTGCTGTAGATTCAGATCAATTTTCCTGTGTAGCAACTTTCTTGTACGGCTTGTTTCAGCACTGGTTTACACGGATTAGCAAGTTATTATACTGAACGAGTATCCTTTTAAGGGACTGTGGGTCTTCCTAGTTGTTCTCCCAAGTTTGGAGAATATGTACTCTTTTTCCAGTTGTCCCATCACCGCCCCCCCCCCCCCCCCCAAGATTGTTTCTCTCTAAACTGTTTTGCATGTTTGTTTACTTTTTCTAATATATTCAACAAGTCTTTTGCCACTTTTCGTTTCAAAAAAAAAATATATTGACCGAGTAATTTGTAAGTTGTTATACCCATTTACACCCACTATATAAGTACATTTATGAGCATAACTTAGTTTTCCTAGCATCAAATGTTTTTTAAGAGAGAGTAGAAATTAACATTTAGGTAGTAGTTTTTTTAGAAAAACATTTTAGGTAGTATTAGTAGTAAAAAAAAAGCATATATTGTTGATTTACTACTATGAACAAACTATGTGCATCCCTATATTCTAAGATATGTTCCAAGAAAAGCTCCAAGTATATTTAGATTAAAAAAATATGCAAATTGACTCGATATATTTTCCATACATTAATATACTATGATAAGTTTTAGGTTCAGCAGAGTAAGGAAGTAAAATGGATGTAGTATATTTTCAAATCAATGTAATTGCTAGCACTCATCGCAAAACATATAATAATTCAAATCAATCCTATCCGCACACACAATTTTGCTAATAGTAATGCAATAAAAGTAATAAATATAAACCATATCTGCAGTGGCATTTGTAAGACAGATCTAGATATATAACAAAATATATTATTCAGAAGTGAAAAGTTTTAACTAAATACAGGCACAAGGTGGTCCAAAAGGTTCAAGCCGATTTCACTCCCAAACTTCTGATATCCGGTTCCACCACAACAAAAAGCATAGAACACAAACTTATAGTCCAAATGTTTAGATGTTTTACCAGTGAAAGTCAATACTTCATTCTAAAATCAAAAGCATGACAGAAAACCCACCATATACACTGGCCTGCTCCTTCAGTATGGAAGATCGTTGTCCTCCACCCGCCTGCAGCGCAGCCCCCTCACATCCTTCCTCCAAAATACATCTTCATCGTCTCCATCACCATCACCGTCACCATAGTCGCTGCTCTCCTTACCTTCCCTTACATGTCCATCCCTGCCTCGTCGCTCGCCGCCTCCAAATCTTCCCTTGAGAGCACGTAACACTTTCTTCTTGATCATCTTCGACTTTGACTTATCAACCAACCTATGCATCAACTTTTTGAAGCTCAATGAGAGCTTCGTTGATGGCGCCGCTGCTGCGGGGGCGCCGTCGAGCTGACGGCCGATGATATACCCAAATGGGAGCTTCTTGATTATCTTCACTGGAGAGGCGGGTGGCTGGAATTCAATACCTCCGGTTGGGAAGATTGGCAACGGGCTGAGACGAAACGATCGTGACTCGGAGTCGTCATCATCGGTACGGAATGAACACAACTCGGAGCTCTTCGCGGACACAAAAGTCTCCATGTCACTCTGACCACCACCTCTGTTGTCAATGACAGCATTGCTATTGGCAGCTTCAGAACGTGATCTGAAGAACACCTTAGAGATGTGGTGTTTCTGCCCCAGCGATGACAGAAGCTTCTTTATCCTCCTCTTGATCTCCTTCCTCGATGCCTTCTTACCGTTCTGCGGCACGGCGCAGAAGTGGGATGGATCAGAATCTTCATCAGAGGTTTCAACGGCATGGACGATGGCAGCAGAGGAGAAAGTGTGGACACGAAGAGAGCCTTGAACCTGAAGCATTCTTCTGATCTGTATTTTTCTCTCTAAATTGTTTTGTGGAAATTGGGGAGAATATGGTGAGATGTACATGTAGGTGGAGGAAACGATGAGGATAAAGCCAAGGGAAATAGAAAATTTTTTTAGGCTATTAATAGATATTATCTTGGCAGATATGTTTGAGTTCTTGTTTGATATGGAAACAATAAATGGTGAGATATACAAGAATGAATGACAAGATAAACAACAAAGGCTAATATTAATTTTGGCAATAAAACGGCTGAGCCCTGAAATAGTATAAAAAGATTGGGAAATATTGGCCAATGAAGTATATCTTAACAAAGCACAGCCCTAAAAATGGTGATGTTTGAAATGTAATAGTTTAGCAGAATGATTTCTCATTGATGATTATTTTTTGTTATCAATAATTGCCAAAAAAAACTCTGTACCACATCAAGTAATGTGATTATTGCTAAAAACATGGATTAGCCATACTTTGAGGTAAACAGAGGAAATGAATTAGCAATTAGTCGGATGCTAACTGTTACACACATTTGAGATATACTCCTCCGCCCTAAAATATAAGGACTATAGGAGTTTTAAAATTTTTCCAAAATATAAGGACGACTGGAGCAGTAATTAATACTCTGATAGTTCTAACATATATCAATCTACTACTAGATAGGACCAGTATTATGAATCAGGAATCAGGACATGTTGTCTAGATTTGTAAAACTAGATTGTGTCTAATCTAATACTCCCTCCTTCCCTAAATGTTGGACGCCGTTGACTTTTTTAAACATGTTTGACCGTTCGTCTTATTCAAAAACTTTTGTGAAATGTGTAAAACTATATGTATATATAAAAGTATATTTAACAATAAATCAAATGATAGGAAAATAATTAATAATTACTTAAATTTTTTGAATAAGACGAACGGTCAAACATTTTTAAAAAAGTCAACGGCGTCAAACATTTTGGGATGGAGGGAGTACTATATTACTATATTTTGGGACAGATGGAGTATATCTTGGATTTTCATCTTATCTGGTGCACTCTTTGAAGCCACTCATTCCTCATAATTCGCAAGGGTCACTCAAAACCAGCCGATAATTAATGAATCAGAAGTGATTACCCTATTTAATGAGAGGTTTTCTAGATTTTTATCCTGATGCTTAATTTGTCATAGAATTACTAGAATTCTTATATTTTCGTCTGAAGGGAGTATTATATTTCCCTTGAGCTCCATAAAGTTTCTAGACTGCCTGTGATTGGTGGATAGCTCTATTTTGAGTTTAGATCTTGGCCCCCATCAATTTTATCCAAGGAGCTAAAATTCTACAAATAAACTGAAGAACCATTTATCCAACCGTCGATAACCAAGCTACATAGAGGGTTATTGGTGCACAAGGCATAATAAACTATATTATCAACCAAGAGCACTAAAATAATATACAAAAGGAGGTTTACTCATAACCAATAATTGGATAATGCCACAACTTCTTCACCACCATTTCACCAAAACTTACCCAACCTTCTTAAATATATAGTACCGAAATTTCTCCCGTACCTTAAGCCATAGGCGAAATACAACTCCGAACAAAGATGTGGCATATGGACTATTTTCCGCTGTTGCCTCCATTGGATGATCTGAGACACAGTGATTGGGTACTTTGGTTGGGGGTCTGAAGCAGAGTGGGGAAGGGGAGTGAGGAGAGGAGCAAGAAGAAAATAGGGGAACGGCATGGGGATGGGGGACTATACTGAATAAGCCAAAACCACATCACTACCTCAGTTTATGACGGTAGGATGAACGGTTTAGAAAGTTACAGGGTGAATTTCTAAACCATGGTTAAAAGCGCAAGGTTGTAGAATAAACCTTTTCCTTTAATATTTGACAGCTTGCATATGTTCAAAAATGTCATCTGTTTAAGAATGAAGGTAACATATCAGAGAAAAAGTCATTTGGAAACTATGTTCAATTGTAAAGCTTTGGCTGAGCTTATCAGCACCACGTGAAACGAGGCATGCCATTAGCGCATCGTTAAGTATGGACTATTATAAATTACAGAAGTGAATTTATTTGATTTTTAATAAAATATATAAAGTTTTTGCACGAAATTAGTGGTTCAGAAAACGTGGCTCATGGCAAACTGGCCCTAAGACATGACAATGACAATCAGTCTCATTTATTCATAATGGGATGTCTCATAAACATCCCAAATTAATTATTTGCAGTTGTTTGTGTTAAATATGTGATCCGAATTTTGGACCAACAATATATTTGGATTAGTTATCTAATAGGACTGCATTATAGGATTAGTTTCCTATTAGGACTTTGAGTCTTTACCTATTAGGACTCCTAGATTTCTCCTATATATATATCCCTTGTAAGCCGTACAGGGAGGGTGCGACAGCTCAATGTATCCCCTGCGTTTGTATCTAACTCCTCTATAGTGATCATTGCCGGTCGGCGTCTATAGTTTTTTCCCTCAAGGGTTTTTCACGTAAAATTTATCTCCGTTGTACATTTATTTTCATAACAGTTCGGCCCTTCATAATAGAACTGCGAGCTGAAAATATGTGAGATCTTGTAACAGTTGCCCTGCATGCTGTGTTGCAGATCGTTGCTAAGGGAATGGCCTTTACCATTCCCATCGGAGGTGGCTGCTGTGTGTCGCGTGGCCGATGAATCCACCGAAAAGAGATATTGACAGGTCTATCTCCTAGTGTTGGAAGCTGTGGGAGTATTTCAAATGGTAATGTACTAAGTTCCTTGGGTGAAAACAAATAAAAGGTAGCTGATAATTTCCACATTCAAGGAAAATAATTAAAATGATCCAACTTTAATTAGTATCAACTGAATGTTTGTAGACTTGGAGTTCTTTGGAACATCTGTTACTGTAGAACATTGCATAATGTAATTCATCATTCATTTATCCTTTTTGATTTTTTCAGGAGTTTTCAATTGTTCATCATTTATCTTTTCTATACTAATATTTTCCTTTTGAGTTTCAGTTTAAAAGTTTTTTTTCTTCCGAATTCTACTTATTTAGAAATTTTCTATCTTTGTTTTTCCTTTTTTCTTCAATTATAGATTTTTCCCTTCTGTTGTTTTTTCCCATAAAATGGTTTTTCTTTGTCGAGTTTGGTTTCAAAAGGCAGGGAGAGTGGTGCACCGATGCCGCAACGATGAGCTTATTTGGTTTGTAACCATGGAAAAATATTTGCAATATGGGTAAGTTTATGTCAATGCCAACATTTTGACAATATTTATGTGGTATTGGTAAGTATTGTTAGCAAATCTTAATTGCATCCATGCCATTGTAACTTTCACAATTTTGATATATACCATTACTGTCCGGGGATTCCTAACGCTGGCCCATCGTTAACATGTGATTAGCACTAATGATGATTTTGAAGTCAAAATTTGAAATCTTTCAACTCAAACTTTAAAAAATTTCAACTGGAAATTTAAATTTGCAAGATAAATTTTGAAAACTTTCAACTCAGATTTAAAAACTTTCAACTCGAGATTTGAAACCTTTCAACTCGAGATTTGAAAACTTTCAACTCTGATTTGAAAACTTTCAACTCGAGTTTTTAAATTTGAATTATAAAAAATATTTTTTATTAAAAATATCTTATAATAGAAATTTTGATAACTTTCACTACATCCTAAATTAATTATGTTGAAAACATAAAAAAAAAGAAGGATCGTATAGATGCATGCATGCATGCATGTGTGGGACCAAGGTGCATGCATGTGTGTGTAATGCATCTGCACGGGTGGAGACCGAGGTACATGCATGCATGTGCAGTTGGTTTGCTGCATGCGTGAGAGATAAGAATCTGGCGCATCTGCGCGAGATAGCAATTGCGTTACTGTCCTTCTATCTGAAGGTATGCCATCATAATTTGATATATACTACTACTTACCCTTCACTCTATTTCTTTCTTTTTTACCAAGTTACCCTTTCTTCTTCATTCATTCCCTCCTCCCTCCTGTTCATCTTCTCAGCACCAATGGCAGCAGTACAAGCATGGGTGAAAGCGCTGGCATAGAAGGCGCTTAACGACACTGTCGGCAACGGGAACATCACCATCTTCGAGCCAAGGAACGAGGACATGGAGCGCGACCTCGACCTAGAGTTCCGCCGCCACCACGTCCTCCCCGCCTGCCTCCACGGTGGTCAATGAGGGTGGGCACCGCTCGTCCACGGACTTGGATGACCTTGTTCGAGCGTGTAGCCCGCGCCGCCGCTGCTGCCATCGACCCGAGGAGATACTCTCGTGGGGATCCATCAGCCGATCGAGAACGACACCTCCGGCGGCGGTGGAGAAGCCCCTACGGCTAAAGTGCCTCACTCAGATTTGGGCTATGAAGTTGCCATCAGCCTCGACACGCCGCTCACGTTCCTCCCGGATGAGAGCAGCAGCGAAGAGGAGACAGTGGCGACTTGGCGGCTGTTGACGGTCGTTATCGATCAGTTTCAACCGTCAATATTACCAAAATAGAGGAGAACTAGTGGTGCTTGCAATGCATATGTTTGTTAGAATAATAATATTCCACTAGTATTAGGTCTACTAACCTTTTGCAGAGAATGACAATAAAGTGGAGGAGAATCGACATCAACACAAACGATAAATCAATCGGACGATGTCGAGAACCAGACTTGTGTATGAATGGGCCAAGAACTCAGAATTGACACGACAAACTGGGCCAAAATTCACAAGTCTGCGGAGAAGAACAACAGAGGAGGCCGCCAGCCAAACCATGGGCTGGTTGGGCCGGCCCTAGGTTCGACCGAACCTGGTGGTTCGGCCGAACCCCCCTCATCGCCGCTGGATGCAGGGTTTCTTCTGAACGGTGTGGATTAGCTCCCAATGACGGTTGGAGGGTATTTCTAACTATTCCAACCGTCACAACCGTCATTAGGAGGCTATATAAACCCCTCATCTTCTCACTTCACTCACACACCTCAAGGAAGAGCTCTCTCATTCCTCTCAAGTTTAGTTTAGTAGTATCTAGCTGGTGGAATAGAATTAGAATA